CCCCCCCCCCCCCCCCAATTCCCCATTGTTGCTTCGCCGTCCGGGCCGACCACTAATCCTGATTAACTTGCTCACTCCCATCTTCTCATTCACGCCACGCCCCCCTTCCTCCCCCCCCCCAGTTAGACCACAGCGTGTCGAAGAGGGGAGAAAGAATGTCCTCACGGGGATAATTAAAATGGAAGTCCTACTTTCCTTGCACACACGCAAATTTTCGCGCCAAAAGGCCTTTTTTAACAATCTACTCCTTCGTTTTCTCCTCTTCTGATTTTTCTCTGCCGAATTTCTAATATAATCATTTCTATCTAGATATACAACCTCCTGATCAGAACATAATTCACTTACGATTCTCCCATTGGAGACTGGTAAATTTTCCGAGTTAATTTATGAGAGTGTTTACAACACCTGACCCATAGCCCAGAACGGTTGGCAACCTTTGCCAATTAGCGTCGACCTTTTCAAATAATGAACACTATCAATTTAGTTCCGTGATATCTGCTCTTTCACCCCACTTGAGAAAGAACTACCTCAACTGCCACACAATCATTATCTTCATCCTTGTCACCTACCGTACACTTTGTCTTAAGTATTTGAGACCCGGTTTTTTTGTTGGAAAATCATTTACTCATTTTGACATCGACACATTGACAATCCAGAAACATTTTGGTTGGTGATACATAATTACAAAGTGGAATGCCTTAATCTTGGCACGATTTGGCTTTTGAGAACATTTGCTCATATGGTATAAAGTGGGCAAATATCGTTGTAGTGGAGTGGGTTATTCTATATTGCGAATATTCCCAATCATTTGAAATATTTCAATCTCGTCCAGTTCTACTTGGTCTGTTTGGATGTGGACGAGCAATTGAACAGATCAAGTGTAAGATATCGGAGAGTAGTTCTACTCGCACGACAAAGGTTAAATAGATTATTTTATTACTATAGCCAGGCCATTTTTTTTCTTTTCACGCTACTCTCATTTTACTAGGTTATAACAAAGCACGATTTTGGAAAGTACATTGCGGGTGAACAAATCTTACCGCATTCGTACATGAAATGTTAATTAGCTTATTAACCTGACCTTAATTTGCCTATGCAAATATCCATTGTATTATTGTTGTCAACATGAGATTGACCCGCATTTTTCAACTGTCCTGATTGGCATTTTTTCAGTGAACTTCATTTATTCGTGTGAGAGTTCAATTTCTGCTCATCGAAATTTCTTTCAAAGCCATTCAACGTCTTGAGAGTTTGCGCGCAGTGGAATTGGCAAACCACAATTTCTGAACTCCGCATAAAAAACATTGACTTGGTGATTTGGTGTTTCAGTGTGATTGAAGAATGAGAAATCTTGACCATGCCATTGGGACCACCATTTCTTAAAAGTAAATTTTCTGATATAAGAAAAGGTGCTTGAAGTAATGTAGTGCCGCAGCTTCTGAAACATTTCAACCCCCCCCCCCATCTCCCCCCGACTCCTCCACTAAATGCCTTCTACTCGTACTTGAAACGTTCTAGTTCCTTTAATTAACAATCAATTATGCACAATAACACCTAATTGACTTAACATAATTAGTGTACTTAAATGTAGTATATTCTCACGAAATTAAAGACGAGTACTTTTAGATATCTGTCACACGGAAACTCCATTGTTAGATGGGTTATTTATTTTTCGGCGCTAGCCTTTTTTTTCGAGTGAAAGGATACATTTCTGTGAGACTGAAGTGGGGAGAAAGAGGAGAGTGAGGTTAGATTGAGGAGATGATGGGTTGTGATTGAAATGTATCCTTCCACTCGAAAAAAAAGGCTAGCGCCGAAAAATAAATAACCCNGGGAGGGGGGGGGGGGGGGGGGGGGGGGGGGCGGGGGGACTGAATAAGGCGTGCTTGTAAGATATACATCATGTGATAAGAGAGCTCATCATACACTTCGGGTTGTGCAGTATCGCCTCTGTCATTGCAGGAGAACTGTAGCAGTAAATGACAAAAAGTCGTCAACCTAGATGACATCTACGATATCTCTTCCTCTCTCACTCCCTCTTCCTATCTGCCACAACTCGAATGGGGGAGAGAGAGAGAGAGAGAGTGATAGCGTGTGAGAGACAGCTGGGGTGCTATATTTCTCTTTGACATTCATCTACAGGAAGACAGGTTTTAAAAAAGTTAGCAGCCAAAATTCTAATGGCGTATTTGAATTCCCCACCTCGCCTAACTTCAAAACACTGCGTGCTGAAATGGAAACCGTGTCGTCTGTCAAGTGGCCTGCGCGAATACTTGTCAATACCCCTTTCGACATTGGCCCATCATCGCTTGTCAATATTTCAATAATTACAGCTGTTAATTCACCTAATCATAGGAAATAGGTGAGAATTATCGGTGTGCAAAATGTTGCTTAAGGTATAAGATAACAAGGAAATGCCCTTTTAAAAGTCTCAATTCAAATATGGGGAGAAAATCACGAGATAAAGGAAGTCCTTCATTGAAAAAAGTCCTGGAACATCCGATAAATTTTTCATTGCGTGCTTGAGAGAAAGAAGCGGTTTTCGAGTTCTATTTTCTTTTCTAATTTGACAAGAAAGGAGACTTGCCAAAAAGCCCTACTGCCAACATGAACAACTGTGAACGAGAGGGCGATTCAAGCAGTTTGTGTAGATTATCGTGTTTGAGTCCAAATGGGGGTGAAAAAACGCTACTTCCCGTGATGGGAAAGGCACTGGCCAACTCTCAAAGAAACTGGAGGCAAGAAATAAGGTGTTATCAACTCAAATCATCATTGCCAGTTCTCACTTTCCCGTCTTCAAAAAAAAACCCCCAGAGTGTGGAATTAATTGACAGACACGCATAAATTCTCTTCCTCTCCTACCCCCCACCCCACCCCCACCCCCAGTTTACGTGAGACGTTTCTTGTCGGCAAGTGGATTTTGATAGGGATTTTAGAGTGTATGATGTCGCCGCTTAATGCTCGCCTGCAGCTGAAATTCTGACTCGCATAATGGCCCATGTAGTGGCTGACTAATGATCTCTCTCTCCAACAACTTCCTGAATTCCACAACTTCCGCCTTCTTGCATGTCAATCAGAACATTTTCACCTTCTTCTTTTTCTTGCCAAGTTTTGCCTCATCTCACACGAGGCCTCAAAGCATACCCTAATTTCTACTGATAAGCGGTTTTTTTCTGTTCACAACCTAATTACTTTGAATCTTTCAACGTACTCCCCCCCCCTCTAGCCAAATAATCTTGATTTCCTGTCATTGTTTCAAGAGCTAGGATACCCTTTGCACTTCTAGGACAAAAAATTGGCAACCATTAAGAGGGGGGGGGGGATTGAATCGAAGAGACATAGGGAAAGGTCATTGTACCACGAGTAACTTAACACTTTTTTTACTAAATATTTACCTCCCTGTCTCATATTACGAAACGCAGGTCTCACGAAATGTGTACTGGATTACTGAGAAATTTTTAATTTCTTGAAAATTTGGTGTGGATTCACCAGATGGATGGATGGATGGATGGAGTGTTCAGTTCTACCAGTTCAAGTAAAACGGCCTTCTCTAACACAGGGAGATAACATTTTAACTCATTCAAAACTATTTTATATAGTATTATTAATGTTTATTATGACGCAAAAAACATGTTCACTAGTATATTTTGTGGAAATGAATTTAATCTCGAGAACTATGCAATATGCTTTTTACTACCTCCATTAAAGACTGAATTCGTTAGGTCAAACTTTGAAATTTCAGAAGTTTTAAATTTATGGAGGTGACTCTGAGGGTGTCTGACTTGAATCTCCTATTGCACTTCCCTTTTAAGGATCAAATAGTTTTGAATCCGCAGCAACCGGAAGTGAGACTGCCCAAAGAGGTGTACCAAAGTCTGATTATCAAGTCCTCAGGGAGTGCTACGCGTCTCATTCGACTGCTGATGAAGCATTTCTTCTCACAGGATGAACTCGCCGCTTCCTCACTTTCCGGAGAGGGAATATACAAACGACGCCTGAAGCCCGACATCACCGAAGCAATCAAATGTAAGGCCTTTTTTTGGCGTTTTTTTTTGTTTTTGAGTAATTATACCAAGAATGTACACACACACAGATTCCACTATTATGCCTTGGTTTGAGAATACATGCATGATTTTTGAGAGGGCCAACCCCTTCCCTCCCCTCCTCTCCTTCCCTCCCCTCCTCTCCTNCCCCCCCCCCCCCCCCCCCCCCCCCAAACAAACGCCACATCGGTCGGTAAACAAAAATTCAAAGCATTTAGGATCTGAGATTCCACGTATGACATTTGAGGTAACTTCCGTCTAGGTTAGTCCTCTTTTTCCTCTACCCTTTTGAAGTAAAAGTTTTCGAGAAAGAGGAAGTTTTATCACAACGCGAGTTATTTTAATATTTGTATTCCACTTGTAATTCTGAATTGAGGGCTTTCTGTTGATAAGGATATAATACACAATCTGGCTCCTTTGTTTGCTCCAATAAATTCTTCCACTTTTTGTGCAAATTAAAGAAGATTAATACTGGCTTAATTTAGTGGAGCTTGCATTCCGTGATCCCTCTTCTGAATTGGAATACGCTAGGCTTAGGCAACAGAACACACCACTTGATGGGCGTCAATGAACGAACACCTATCTTGTGATATCCGTGTTAAAAGAAGGCCAACTTGACCTCTGTGTGTCATTGTTACATAGAATACACAATAAAATGGAGGTATTTTTTGAGTACCTCATCGACGAGAAGCCCGCACACGCACACACGCACACCCTCTCACCCCCACCCCCCTCCAGTCCACTTTTGAGCCACATTAAAGACCGCCAATGTCGTGACCTCGCGCAGAGCGAAAGACTATGCCTTTGGGCTTCACGAATGACAAGTGATTTCGAGGAAGTAGGAAGAAAATATATATATATATATATATATATATAGAAATTTACTTGGCTCTTTCTCAATGACGCAATGATTTTGGTGTTATCAGAGCTTGAAGATCACATGGTTGCTGCATCGAGTGACGTGGTAGTTGAGTGCACACACAAGCACGCGCCAATGTGATGAAATACTTTTGAGATGATGGGGAGGGAGGGAGGGAGAGAGAGAGAGAGAGTGAATATGTGTCGATCTCTCAATTCCGCATCACTTCCCATATTTATAATGGAAGAGAGTCTGTGAAATTTGAAAATTTCGGAATATTTTTTTGGCAATATACCGGGTGCAAATCAGGCATTTTTTACGAATGGGGCTCTGTAGATGTAAAAATTGAATTGGCTCCACCACACCATCTTTGGAAATGCATGATGGTGTGTTCCATAACCAAAGGAATGAAAGTTGACTAATAAAATGTCAGACTTCTAATAATTCCATCCCGCGTCCAAAAAATTTGACGATGGTAATAGTACTACTGAGGTAAACTACTTTCTTGAGAAGGCAATACATCTCCAACTCTCCAATTGCAATTTGCATCACCTTGAGGAGTTAATTTTCATTGGAAATTACACAAGTTTTCATGAAAGGAAGTTGAAATCTATTGTGTCTCTTCATTATCATTTACCCCAGGATCCAGATAATATCTGAAATGGCTTCCATCTCGAAGTCAGGAGAAACGTTAGATTACCGAAATACAAACTTTAAGGGGTGACTTTCACAGGTTTGAACACTTCCACGTGCTTCAGTGATGGGGGGGGGCGCTATTGATGAATCAGTATGAACCAGCCAAAATCCTTCTACATCGTTCCTAACCTCTAACTTTAATAGACCTAACTTTGTTGTTGAACCCTATTTTTTGTCTCTAGATTGAACTCCTCCTTCAGATGTATTCAGAATGGGGTTTTATTTTTGCTTTTTCCAAATTCGCACAAAATATGTCATAATAATTTTTTAGATTCATGAGATAGACCACGAAAAAGTGGCTTTCAAGTAGTGGTATTTTAAAAGCGGAGAAAAATTGGTAGGATTTGAACATTACCGACTTGAAGGCAAAGATTTTCAAGGAATGTTCAGTTCTCCAAGATCTTCACAACGTGAGGTATTTTGAGGAATTCCGTTCGATTGAGGACTATTATCGAAGACGACAACAACTTTTTTTACTCATTTCTCATTGAAAACATGAATTGTCTCAAAGGATAGTTTGTTGTCATTAGGAAGCAGTTGCGGTAATTGGCACGATGTGACGTATGTGAAGTACTTCGTTGGTGTCACAGTCAACTTGAGAATTGAGCACAAGAACTCTAAGACGCGTTTTTTACACTGATACGTTGTCAAATAGTACATATGTGAAGTCCCCTGATTTTGAACTATTGGAATGATAAATGCTTGTGTTAGGTGTTCATTGAAAATCTTAGGGAAAATAAGGCTACTGTTGTCACAAGCTATTGACTGCTAATAGAGGACTTTAGACATTCTATCTAGTCATCAGTAATCGACTGTGATAGTGCAGCTTTCTTAACTGAAAAAAACTAGACCAATAACACCCTCAGTAAATTTGGCATTAAAGTCGGTAACATCACCGTAGCCCTATATGAAGTGGTTAAAACAGCTACAAAGCTGGAGACTTGCGTTGAAGCCAGTCTTACCACTGGTGTCAAAAAAGCCATGAGACTAACCTACACTGACGTCAGCTTAGTTCAGGGTAGTCTTTGAACCGGCTTCACGGCAAAACTCACCACCGCTGTTGCTCTCCCTCTTTCTCCCTCTATCTTAACCTTCTTCATGAGTGGACTCAAATGTTTTAAATTAATTAATTTATAAGTGTTCAATCAAATAATATGTCTAGGTACACTCTGAATATCCCAGAGTTATCTTAAAAACAAATAACACCATATAATTTTGTTTGCTGACAAAAATGTTTTGTTACCATGAGCGGAATAGCAAAAGTTTATTGGCTGCCACGTGGAGTTGGAGTTGCACAGAATCCTAAGTATTCCACCGATTCTAGACACTGAAAACGAATTCTGATGAAGGCGATCTGTGTTCATCGGTCTAAAAAATACACCACCAGTACGCTTTCAGGAATGCCTAAGACGAATGTTGCCGATCATTGCTCACAAACCGATTAGAAGCAATAAAGTTCCCAGATGTGAACCATTCAGTAGAGAGCACGCCTGAGGACACTTCATCATCGTTCCTTTCGCGTCGAATAAAGATCCAGGAAAAAAAGCCTCTAATGTTGGGCAAATAAAAACAAGATTATTAAGTAAAGTTGGCATTAGAAGGCCATGTACTGCCGTGGGTGGTTTACATCGTCCTCTGTAGGTCCCATCACAGGCGCTCACAGGAGTGTCAGAACAGCATTTCTCTTCAACATGTTAAAATCATTACCCGGAATAAATGTCATATTGCTCAAAACACTCCAAAACTCCAAAATGCTGTTCACGTCTGGGCTATTGTCTACCAAGTCTAATTGATCAAAATCCACTCATGTGAAATAACCAACCTCATTGGATATTTTCGATCACCGAACGTGGATGAAAATATGCGGATTTCTCAATCGAGTGGTTTCTGGATAGCTCTATCTACTCATATCAAGGAGTTTTGAAGCGTTTTAGTGGAAAAGGGAAGCTTTTCTAAACAGGCATCATGACGATTCAATATCCGAGAAGTTATAGAAGATATTTCAAGAGATGAAGAAGATTTCACTCGTCCCCATTTAAAGTCAGCAGGTCACCAAACATCGTTTTCCCTCTCACCACCTCCTTTCTAAATTTATTTAAAATTAGCAAGTTTCAATTTTTTTACATTTACTGAGTGGGTTTCGTTTTGTGAACATCGTCTGAATTACTTAGTTCCCTCAAATAGTAATGGAAACAAGACTTAACTCCACGATGTATTAGGCTATTCCTACACATTGCAAGAAATCGGCGCTATACGGCAAAAAATTTATTTGGAAATAATAGTAAGAATTAGAAGGTGATTGTTGCCATAGCAGCAATGCTGACACTGATTTCAATATAAAAGTCAATTCATTTCCCATTACCTTGACGGGAGAGCTTAAAGGTTGCAAAGAATTCTATCGCCAATGTCTGGTGGTGCTACTTATTTAGCCCAGAGTTAAGGAGAGTTAATGTGAGTTGAGGACAAGGATTTCGCACAATCATTTGTCTACACTACCTACACGCCTTTCAAAATCACATACAGGGGAATGTAAAGAGAAATCACGAACATAATCATCATCAACATCAACTCAAACCAACCTCATCTATGAGCTACGAGAGCTACAAAAAGCCACACAAGAGGTGAGAAGTCTCATCGGCTATTTGTTTCACTTAAGTCAATGCGTGTGCGTGTTTGTGTTGAGGCTGATACACAGGAGAGGGGAAGGGAGGAGGTGGAGGAAGAGGAGGAGTGGCTTGGCGTGGTGTGGCAGGGGGGAGGGAGGGAGGACAGGGGAGAGCAGAGGGGAGCAGGGGAAGAGGGTATGGCACGAGAGCGAATAAGGAAACATATCGCCACACACACTGAGCGAATAAAAAAAATGCACGGAAAACGCACACTGACATGTTCGCACGGCCACCACCATTTGCCCTCATCCCCCCCCTCTCCCACACCCACACCCACCCCCACCCGC